CTTTCGAATTTTTTTCTTTAAAATTACAAAAATGAAATACTAGTGGTAGAGTCAAAGAAATTGGGTCATGGTTTATTGGTGATAACCTGTTTAAAGTATCAAATGACCACTCATTGTAATATACCAAAAAGTATTCAGGATTAAAGATTTGGAAAACTGTATTTGTCTTCATTAATTGCACATTTTAATGTTGCAAATAAGTTGTAAAGTAGCTTTTTTGTTATATTTGAAACGGTTAATAATAAAATATTGTATTCAAATACAACCCGGTTACCTGCACCTATATTGTGAAGCAGCGAGAAAATCATAAAAAATGTACTTTTCTTTTCTTGCTGATAGATTTGACTATTGCGTCATTTGGTCTTTCGGGATTGCTGTCTCACGGACAAATGAAGTACCTATATCTTTTTCATTTAATTTGCAACGACTAGAAAAGTAATATCTCTCATTTAGTGAATAAAAAGACATAATGTTTATGTTGTGTAGGAAGAATCTATACGTTTCAAAATGCTGCAATAGAATCAGAATCTGATTTGTCTATGAACATTATATTTTCAGGGTCTTTTATGATCGTAACAAAAGATCATAGAATCATTTTCTGTATTATTTTACAGTCAATATAATTGACAACCTACAAACGACGAAAGTTTTATTGATTGAGTATTGATGAATACCTTGCCCATAGTGTTTGAATGTACGATATGATGGTGTAAATGCTTAGAAAGAATACCATGAATCACCACGTACCCAAAAAAATGTTTTACGTGGACACAAACCTACCCCTTCTTATATACACAATATTTTATAAAACTAAAACACACACAAACAAAATCCTGCACAATGTAATTACATACAGGATGACCACTAACTAGATTAAGAAAATGTGTTTACTGATACATAACGGACAGCAGGTATTATCACGAACCTCGGTTCTTACCAGCTAATCTATAAAATAGGGTGTTTTTTTTATTGCATTACATTTATACTCAATCCACTTAAGTCCATTGATGAAGGAAGATCCTAAATAAGTCAAATATATTTATCCAAAAGACCATTCAATGATATCCTTCAAGTACTGATATTTTTAAATAATTTACATAAAACAAAAAATATTAAACATATGTATATTATTTTAGATAATGTTTTTTTTAATGTTATATATATCGTCAGGGTCAATAGTTGACAAATATTTCGGCTGAACAAATAGCCTTCGTCAGTATCATTAATTTTAACAATAAATAGCCTTCGTCAGTGTCAATAATTTAAACAGAAAATAGCCTTCGTGTGTGTCAACGATTTTAACCATAAACGACGAAGTCTATTTTTTCAGCTGAAATATTCGTTAATATGATTTTATAACATCATCTTCGTATATTACCATAAACGTATAGTATCGTTGCGCAAATCTTTAGACTTTTATAACATTTTCCTTGTCTGCGTAGTATCGCCTATTCTAGACGATCCGGTACATATTGAATATGCTGGTATGTCCTTTTTATAGACTTCTAGACCCATAAAAGTACGGAAGCCGGTTAGTGTGAGGGTGGAGTTTTATTTCTAAGTCGTTAAAACGACTTAGCTAACTCGTTATAATGACTTAGCTAACTTGTTCTTACGACTTAGCTTATCTAATTCGTTATAACAACTTTACTAACTCGTTTACCACTTAGCTAACTAGTTATAACAACTTAGCTTACTTGTTATAACGACTTAGATTTTTGAATATCGTAAAAAGTTAATAGATGTCTATGCATGCTAATATTTTGGGTTATTTTGCTGACCCGTTGAATTTTACTGATTATCTCCTTATTCTTAAAAAATAGTAGGATATAAGGTTTGGCTCCTTCCTCTTCCCCTTATAACATGAAACCACTCCCCCTTTTTAAAAGTCCTTGATCCACTACTGATAAAACTAAGCAAACCTAAAAATGAGTTTCTGTGATTTACCTCTTCCGTTTAAACAATTCATCAAAACAAATTAAACAATTTAGATTAATCAGTAAATGTCTTTAAATTTGACACCCTTATAAATTTCTACATTATTTAGAAAATGCTTGCAATCTTCGATGTATTTAGGACATTTAAGTAAAAAATGTATTTCAACTTCAATTTCTTTCTTGCAGTTGTACATCTTTCAACTTCTATTTCTAATTAATTTGCAATTATAGTCGAAATTTAGAAATCTATGAATAATAAGACAATCGAAAATAAATCAAGACCAAGATATTAGGGGGTAAAACTAAGTCCTGGAATTGAGAAAGTAGCTAAGTCGTTATAACAGTTAGTTAAGTTGTTTAAACGAGTTAGCTAAGTTGTTTAAACGAGTTAAAAATAAAACTCCACCCTGACACTAACCGGCCTCTGTAGATATCCTTCATCAGCATGATAATGATGATGTAAAATACTTTTATAAATTGTAACTTGGATGGAGAGTTGTCTCATTGGCACTCATACCACATCTTCCTATATCTACATATCAAACAATTCTGATTTAACTAAAGCAATTACACATTTTAACGTTATACAAATTAAAAACAGAACCACGCTTGTATAGTTATAAAGTTATAAAATTTCAAAGTTGACGCAGGTTAAGTATCTACAACAGAGCTTGCATAGATTTGCATCCAAAAAGAATAGTAATGTGCGATATGAGCTGGCACAATTAAAAAATTCACAAGCGAAGAAAGTAAAGTTTTTACAATAGAGACTGCGTAGTTATACATCCCCAATACATATCACTTTACGATTTGAAATAGTATGATTCTTAAATTTCAAAGTTGGCGAAGTTTAAGTAATTACAACAGCGGCTGCGCATTTATATATCCCAAATGGATAGCACTGAGCGATTTGAACTGGTATTATTCTAGAATTTCAGAGTTGACGAAGGTAAAGGAATTACAACATATAGACTTCTTAGTTATACAACTCAAATGAATAGCACTGCGCGATTAGAACGCTCTTATCCAAAACCTTTCTCTAGACATTGTATATATCCTTCGACGACCATGCGCCTAACGTGGATAGACAGAGGTTCTAACCATTACACCAGATCCAATCATCAAAAGGGAAATGTTTCACTGGCAATACAGTTGTAATGGTGACATCAAAGGTGTAGGAAATTTGGGAAGTCCAGCCTGCAGTGCTGTAAATGTAATGTGAGTTTATTCAACACTATCTTAAACAACCAATGCAAAATCTTGATTTAGGAGAATACTTCAAAAAATCATCTGACATGTGACTGTTCCCACTCTCCATATATTTACCAACCCTCTGGTCATTTTTATTACTAGTGATCTAAATATAATTCTACACGAAAATCTCCGGAAGGTGATATCTCATGATCCAACATTTAGAGAGCCACAACGCATCGATTGGAACCATAACCTTAGATAATAATGGATTCCGTTTAGGATTACGCCATAGCAATGGGGAAAATGAGAAAAGGTTGAACTAGACACTCTGTCAGAATAGGCTAAAGCAATTAGGTTGTTGATACAACGTAGAAACCACAAGTTGAAAAACTGTGAAAATGTTTGACCTGAGCCTGAATTCAGAGACGAAGAGGCTAAGAAATGTCTGGAGTCTCTTCACGACAAATATCTTTTTGTTCCAGCGTACAAAGCTTCAAACTAAATTGTTTTGTCTGTAACGCCTATTACTACGATTTTCTTGTAAAAGAATTAAGAATACATGATCACTCGAGTAGTCCCACGTATAAATACGTAACCTTTGATAAGGATAAGGTCTTGGCAAACCACAAGTCCTTCTTGGCCTCATTTAATATTTCAATTAGCAACAATTCTGAGTACTTACCTTGTTTGTATTGGATACCTAAACTTCACAAATATCCGTACAAACAACGGTACATTCCCGGCTCATCAACAGGTTCTACTGAGGAATTGTTCGTTAGATTAACCAAAATGTTTTTTCCGCAATGAAAGAGGGATTACAGAAATACAGTGAAACTGATTACCCGCATAGTGGCATTAACCGTATGTGGATTCTGAAGAACTCAAAAGTACTTCTGGAAAATTTCAAATCTCATTCATTCTCTGAAATAAATTCTATCAAAACCTTTGATTTTTACCACTCTTTACACAACCATACCAAATAAAAATTTAAAGACGAGTAACCATACCACATAAAAAAATAAAAACTCGTCTTGAAGAAATAATCTACAATGCTCGCCTCCATAAAAATTTTACCATACTCCACTAATTTATTGTTTTAGGATATAATTCTGCATATTTTGTTGAAATTGAGACGGAAAATAAAACATGCTACACCGTAGAACAAGTGATCAGTATGATGAAGTTTTTCATTGGAATCATATTTGTTGAACTTGTAGGCAGAATTTTCCAGCAGGTTGTCGGGGAACCTATGGGAACCAACTGTGCACCTCTCCTGGCCGACCATATCTTATTTTCATATGAGTTGGAGTTCCATCCGACACTTATTAATAAACAAGAAGATCAAAGAATCTAGATCATTTAATTTTACATACATTAACAATCCACACTTTTCTGATTGGGTCCCATTGATACAATTATCTTCCTGAAGTAGAGATTAAAGATACAGCTCCTCCGCCTCTTTCTGGACATGTACATCGAATTTGACAACAGCGGTCATCTCAGTACTAGCATCTATGACAAGCGACCCGATTTCAATCTTGAAATTATGAATTTTCCTCACCTTAGCAGCATTATACCAACTTCACCCACTTATGAATTCAACTCTTACGATATTCAAGGGCATGCAGCTCTACTCAGACTTTTTGAAACGTCATTGGTGTTTGAGCAAAAACATAATGAACCAGGTTTTTGTCAAAGAACGTCTCGTCCTTTTTCTCCAAAAGTAGCAAGATAAAAAAGATAAATTTCAGTGTCCACTACACAAATCATACAAGATGGTCTTGAATTATAGATTCTAAGTGCTGAACTGAAGTTGTGTATCTTTTTATTTACTTTACACTTTTCTCTGTATTTGTCTTCGTGCTTTAATTATTTTTTTTTTGTTTTTTTTTTTGTTTTTTATTTTTTTTCGTATTAGAGTGGTGTTTTTATGATTTGTTCTTTCCTACGACAAGATATTTGTATCTTCGCTGGTCATTCTGTTTAACTATGATATGTATCAACTACAAAAACTTTTTACCGGTGTTTTGGAAAATTTACTATCAACTACAACACCTTTTTTGTTGGCGTCTTTTTCCAATTTATTTGTATGTTTGTGTGAATGTTTTAGTCAAATGTGTTATATGTCTGTGATGTATGTTTACACAGTTTTGGCTGCTGGATCCCAATTATTGTCACATTAACCTATTATGTCTGTTTAGATTGCTCAATTTGATTAATATAACGGAACTATAAACAACTGTCATAAAAGTGGGAGGTTTAGCTAAATACAAAGCCAGGTTTAATCCACCATTTTCTTCTGAAAATGCCTGTACCAATTCAGGAATATGACAGTTGTTTTCGTTGGTCGATAACGTTTGATTTTGTCAATTTTATAGACTTCCCCTTTTGAATTTATCTTGGAAATCGGTACTTTTGTTGTACTCTTTTTTCGCACATAAATGTTGCCAGTAGTTAATAACAATATTTTCGGATGAAACATCACTATACAATATCAAAAGCATTTATTAATTCATAAGTACATTATGATACTACTAATATATCTTTAAATATTCAAGTCACGGTCATTCTTAAAAAAAATCAACACTATTCTTACATTGTTGAAAACTAAGTTCAAAGAATAACAAGGAAAAAACGAAGTATTGTGTCATATTTCAAAACAATAATGGCGATGCTCTCAGAGTACCATTTAAAAAATACAACTTCATTTGGTTCAGTCATTCAGTTCTCATTTGAAAACGTTCAATCTCATTAAAGCATTACTTGATGTATTAACTTTATCTTCTATTTATCATCAAAACTGAATTAAAGACACACTAAAACATCTGCTCATCTTATTCACAATTAATTACATTGCATTTGTACTATTACACAATTATGGTATACTGAAGTGAAATATTCCGGCTAATCCTGCAAATTAATTGGTTACCTTGAGAGGGTGTATGATCCCATATACACTGTGAAGAAAATCAAAGATCAAAACGGTAATTAGTGTTGATATCAGGACACTCCAGTATAATGTAATTGTTACTCGGGATTAACAGGAGATAACTCAGGCGATATAAATCACTGATGAAGATATTTCTACAGATACGTGTCGGTCCGGAGTATACCTGATGAAGTTATTTCCACATATATCTGTCGGTCCAGAGTATACCTGATGAATATATTTCAACAGATACCTGTTGGTCCGGAGTGCAACCGATGAACTTATTTCCACATATACCTATCAGGTCCGGAGTGCACCTGATGCATATATTTCACAGATACCTGTCGGTCCGGAGTGTACCTGATGAAGATATTTCTACAGATATGTGTCAGTCCGGAGTATACCTGATAAAGAAATTTCCACAGATACTTGTCGGTCCGGAGTGTACCTGATAAAGTTTTGTCCACAGATGCCTGTCGGTCCAGACTATACCTGATTAAGATGTTTCTACAGATACGTGTCGGTCCGGAGTATGCCTGGTGAAGATATTTCCACAGATACCTGTCGGTCCGGAGTTTACCTGATAAAGTTATTTCCATAGATGCCTGTCGTTCAAGAGTATACCTGATGAAGATATTTCTACAGATACGTGTCGGTCCGGAGTATACTCGATGAAAATATTTCCACAGATACCTTGACTATAAAGAAGAGAATAGTCCATAATAACATATAAGTCAAACCATGATTATGAAAAGAAGGCGAGATAGGTTATGATTACCAAGGAGAAATCTCTTCATACACACCAAAAGACAAAGGTGTGAATGATTAAAGGTCATTGTACGGCCTTCAACAATAAGCAAAACCCAAACCGTATAGTACGATATAAAAGGCTTGGGTGACAAAATGTGAAACATCGGCATGATTTATAGTACAATTCTAACATACTTTATTATGTTCATATGAACTCATTTTGAAGATTTTATTATTCCCAAACGCTCAAAAGTTATGTTGCACAATGTTTTCATTTTTGAAAATTATCAAGCGTTGAAATGCAATAACTGTTAATTGCTACCCGAAAGACGCTTTAGATGGTCTTGGTGCAAGGTGATAACTTTTTAGACACGTTATGGAATGTCTTCAAAGAAAGTTTGCAGACTTTATTTAGAAACATTAAGGAGAGTCTTATTGTTAACTTTGAGGATTTTTTCCCGAGACGATATGAACGGTCTTAAACTTAAAAGAAAGGGTTAAAGACCTTCTTCAGAGCTGATATAAACTGTCTTAAACCTACAAGAAAGGGTTTAGGACCTTCTTCAGAACCAATATGATCTGACTTAAACTTAAAAGAAAGAATTTAGAACATTCTTCAGAGCTGATATAATCTGTCTTAAACTTAAAAGAAAGGGTGTAAGACAAGACCTTCTTCAGAGCCGATACGAACTGTTATAAACTTTAAAAAAGGGTTGAGTATCTTCTTCAGAGTTGATATGAACTGAATTATAGAAAGGTTTTGAGCAGTTTTATTATTATAGAAACGAAGTGACGATATCAATTGTTTAATGTAAGGTATGAAGATTTTATTCACAATTGGTATGGAATGTTTTGATGAAATGTTTCAATTCTTTTTCAGTGGCGATATGGAATGCATTGACATGCATAGCCCGCGACTCACCGGGTATTGCTCTACTTGGAATACATGTGACAACTTATTCTTTTTTATCTTGATTTCATTTCCGTAGAGATTAAATGGACTGTCTGAATGTAAGGATTTTCTATTATTGTTGTACACCCAGGCGTGATGGTCAAGATGAAGGATAGAAATTATTGCAGTTCCTTAAAATATTGTTAATTTCTTATCCAAAAGGAAACATCTGTCAAATGTACATCAGTACTTTATATTGTTAATGAAACTACTCATGTATATTACCATGACAGATATGGTATAGTCAGTTACAAAACATTAAAATATTTATGTCTAAATAATGACATCTTCTCAATAGTTCCTAAAAAGAACAATATAATTGTAGTACTTTGCTTATAACGATCAATCATAACTTTCGAAAAAATAAGGCCACTATACGACAGACACGTCTAATGCTCACGTCCAATTATTTAATGCTGTTTCTTTCATAGTGCACTTATTCAAAAGAATTCTTATATGCTGCGTGATAGCAGTAAAACAAATCACAATTCACAAATTGATAGAAATATAAAACTAATTATACTGAAAAAGTGAGACAGTCTGGCGTTGCTGTTGCTTTAACGAAAAAAAAAAACCCACCAAAATATGGACAATAAACGTATAATTAATTCGTTTTCTTTGTGTTTTGCTGTCGGTCTAAGCGATGAACGACTTCACATTGAAATTTCAATTAGTAAACGTTGTTATTAATAGGCTTTTTTTGCTGGTGAAATGCTGTTCCAAAAAAAAGTTTATCTGTTTTTATAGTACGAATTGGAACTGCTTTGTTTTAAGCTATATATAATTAAAGAGTAACTGTTGTTTGCGTTGTCATGTATTCAGATTGCCCATCAAGACCAGGTCTCGCTTCTACAGCTTTGTCAATCATTGGTGTCTCCTCTTTCTTTTGCCTTGGTCTCAGAACACATTTACACAGTTTACTAAGAAGTGGAGAACGTTTCATTATAGCCTTTTTGAATCCATCATTAACAAAGGCATATACGAAAGGATTAACGCAAGAATTAGCATAAGATAATGTGTGTCCGAACAGTTTAAAATAATGCATTGCGTCTGTTTTCGGAAAGTTAGGGTCAAACTGGAACCACAACGCAACAAAATGAATTGGGCACCAGCATACAGCAAAAAGCAACACAACAATGGCAACCATCCGGGTAACTCGCTTTATTCTTTCCATCTGTCTATGCTGTTTACTGTTTTTTACCGGCAAGACAGTGTTTTCATTCTAAAAAAAATGTAGAATTAAAATGTTATAGTTGTCACATTAAATAATGTTATATCTTTTTAAAAATCGGCTACTGTCATGACCAAACCGATTGTAAAGGATACGTTTTAAAAAAAGGGTAATGACATATTTGACAATGGTTTATGAAATGCAACCATCTGTTTAACTAAAACATCTTATAAACACAGAAAAGTATTTTAAAGCAGAATCCTGTTTTTACTGATGGATATAGTGGTATATTATTTAACCAAATGGTTTTAGTGCTATCATATCACAAAAATCTATTGAAAACGATGAAAATTTAGGTAACATATGAGGATGTCAAGATATAAAAAAAAAAAAAATCCGCCATTTTGGTCATCTCACTGTATCAAAAAATCATTTACTGTTGTTCTACATATAATAGTAACATTATAAACTACAAAATGATGTATCGTTGAGATAAGTATTTCAGCCAATTTTAATTGACAATTGCATACAATTCTCATATCAGCTATGGGACTCGCATTTAGGCTATTATTATAAACACGAATATTTACAGTAATACATTTCCTGAAGTTATAGTTTATATATGGTGTTAATTCGATTTCATTGTCCGTTACAATATATTTAAAACATTAAAATCTTAGTATATGTCGAATTTAATTCAAGTTATTGCTCAATAATAAACAGAAATTAGATTAAGCTTCTTCAATGAAATAACAACTTGTTTTGGGTTGCATATGCATAATTCTGTTAATTTTGTGAAACAAAGTTTATATTTCGCTTTTGATTAGTTTATCAGTTTTATGCAGTTTCATTCATTTAACTGTTAGTTCCATTCCTTTAACTGTTCACTGGAAAGAAAGTAATAATGTACTTTACAGTTTAGTAGACGTAACATTTTAGTTTTAAATACTCGGAAAAGGTCTAAGTACAGATACCTATTTTTCAATTTTCTAATTCATCAATCACCTAAAGTGATATACGGCATCATTTTGATCTTACAAGACACGGAGACGTCAATAAAAGAAGCAGTAATAGAGAGTGTATAATCCATAGCTAAAGTTACTTAAGGGACAATTTACATTGCTAAAGTACCATATGCTAATAGCATTGCCATAACGAGTTACACATAATTGACTGTAGAGAAAGTTTGATTTTAGTTCTGACAGATATAATAGATTAGAGTTAATAATAAACTTATTGCTTTTCCTTAACCTATTACATCCTCAGACTACTCACCACTTAACAAATGTTAGCCATATATATAGGTGGTAATTCAACGTACATTCAAAATGAATTTATTGCCTTCGAAAACAATTAAAAAAAAAAACCAATTCGTTAGCGTGGTTTACAGCCACAGAGGAATTTAGAATGTACATTAATATTTGATATTATAAAATTGAATCATTAAAGCAGAAATTCATCTTCATCTCTGTGAGGTAAACAGTTAATAAGTGAATGCATCTTTTTGTACGTGACTGTATATAATTGATAAAAGGAAACCTGATGAATAACAATATACAGTTATGATTATATATTAAACGATCATTTTTAGAAAACGTCTGGTTGTCATGAAAAACGATACAAAACACATGTTATGATAAATAAATTATACGTCATTGTGTACAATAACACCAACAGTAAGGTTCCAATAAATATTTGGGATAACAAATATCAGTATCAATAAACGGGCAACCAAAAGTTTCAAATCCTTAACATCATACACATTGAACATCGGTCTTTTTCATTTTCGATAACCTCACGGTAGGTATTGTGTCCGGCTGGAATCGTGTTTTTCGAGTGATTTGATCTGGTGTTGTCGAGTGTGACCACGTTTTTTTCGAGTGAATATGATCAAAAATGTAAACAAACAGACTTCTTTTTCTGGTTAGACGTAAAAAAAGATGTCAGACCCTTATATTTAATATCATTGAAGGTAAATTAGTATTTGTGATAAAAATTTATTAACAACCAAACATTATTTTGTTTTAAAAGTGTTAAATTTAGCCTTACAATGCTTTATTCCAAAATATAGATGAAAGCCATTTTTATAAAGTGTTGTTTTCATTTTTTTTTTAGATATTCAATTCAATTAAAATGTTATTGTAATGTTTTTGGGGGGTTGAGGCCTCTTTTAGTAGAATATTTGGGTTTATATTGAATTTTTCTAATTCTTTACTGCTTTTCCTTAGTTTTCTTGCTCCTATGTTTTTTCGTCATTGTACTCTATATATATCTATCAATCATAAACTAGTATTGACGGTTTAAACAAAGGTAATTGAAAACTGACATGAAATTAAAGAGATTATGAGTTCTTCTCCTCGGTTCTAAAGACCATTTTTAAAAAGGACCCAGTGATTTCTTATATATCCTAATACCTCAAGGTTATGGTAATATGTTTTCAGAACAGAAAGTTATCATTAAATCATCTCAGCCGGACACTATACCTACTGTGAACCTGAGAATCATATACATGTAAAACCAAAAGAAGTGAAAAAAACCAAATTTGTAACGTTCTAAAGGGTATTCGTCAATACAATACATTGCCACTGGACGTTAAGCAACCAACAATCAATCAATCAATCAATACAATACAATCAATGGAAAACATAAAATAACAAAAATATTAAAATATAAAGTATTATATGTTTTGATTTGCTTATAAAGAGGATGGTTTAAATTAGTAACTTTTATTCATTTTGCAATTTCAAAATTCGCCATTTTTTTTTAAAATGACCCATATATTGTTTAAAATATTTAGATTTTGTTTCCATCTGCATCTGGGTGAAGATGCGCAATTCATTTCAAGTAGGCGATAACGGTAGCCTTTTCTTCCATTCCTCTGCCCATATCGTAAACTTGGATATTTATGATGACTCGTTTCGAAGCTGAGACATTTTCACAGATGTGGTTATATTTTCTGAGTACGAAGTGAGATTAGATTTTTCACAAATTGAGCAACCCCGAAAGGCCCCGCATGATGCCGCTTCAGCAAGAAAAAGTCCCTACTTTCAAACAGTTAAACTCTATGAAAATTCAGGTTTTTACAAACATTTGATAACTCCAAAGTTTTTACATCTTTATTGTACAGTCTTCTGCTCTTCAAAACAGCACAAATCGTTAAGCTCGGTCAATTACTAAAAATAGCATCATATCCAATAGCATTGCATGCAGGCTTTTTTAAATTTCTATTTATAGTTGAGTACCTCACTCTGAGGCTCATTAGGGATACTGACCCATCTGGGCTTAAGTTGTCCTAGACATGATAAAGCAATGTGTTTTTTTTGGCAAGCGTGTTACCATAAATATAGGCAACAAGCGTGTTACCATAAATATAGGCAACAGTAGTTTACCGCTGTTCCAATCTAATAAATCGATAAAGAAGACAAACCAAGGCAAAACACCAAAATGGAGGAAATCGCATGAACTCCAGAAAGGAGCTAGTCTGGTTTAGTCGACAAGGCAAACGTCTCGTGCTGTGCATGCAGCATCGGCCATACGAATACACAAAAGGTTAACCGCAAATGAACTTGTGCAAACGGGAAACAGTCGTGTATGCATATAATGTAAAATAAAAGTGCACAGTAAACATAAACAGACTTTGTATAAATCTGATAAGATAAGCCGTTTTCTACTGATTTTATAGTTTGTTACTCCACTGTCCAAGATTAAGGGGAGAAAAGGGGGAGGGGGTGCCCACGAACATGTTTAAACCCGCCACATTTTGTGTGTGCCGGTTCCAAGTAAGAAAATTGCAATTCAGTGGTTGGCTTGTTGCTGTATATCATATTTTTTCGTTAATGTTTTGTCATAAATCAGGCCTCTAATTTTCTTGTTTGAATTGTTTTACAATTGTCATTTCGGGGCCTTTATAACTGGGTCTTGCACGTTGTTGAAGGCCGTACAGTGACTTATTGTTGTTAGTTTCTACGTCATGTGGTCTCTGGTGGACAGTTGACGCATTGGCAATCATACTACATCTAAGTTTTATTTAAAGCGTAAAATAATTTGCACAAAACATTATGCTATATATACGTTAATGACTCGCAAATAACCAAAAGATTAATATAATACATATCTCCAGGTAATCATTAGTTTTAAGTTTAACTTACATGGTGACTTTTGCTAGCCATTCCCCTTATATTTGTTGCAACAAAGGAATGCATACTTTCTTTATAATATATTTAAACCGCCAGCCAATACTTACGTCTTGTCCGTCAGAACGTTTCATTTTTTGTCCTTTCCATAGATGATGGAGTATATATCCATAACATATAACGATAGCTGTGAGTGGGAGGATAAAAGTTGTTAGTACCACTCCTAATGTTGTACCTTTATTCCACTCCTCCTCCATGGAAGGCCATTGAGGTCTACAATCCAATACCTCGGACTGATTTCCAGGTACAACATCATAATATAATAGGAATGGTAACGATATGCAGAGTGACGCTATATATCAAAATAAAATATCCTTTATCAACAAAACACCCATTATCAAGAAAACTACTCGTATCTAAATAGTTGTTTTTTAACAATTAAACAAAAAGTTTATTGCACAACTGCTTTTTACATATTATCCACATTACAGCGTTAGTTATTGTAAATAGATTCGTACAATATATAATTAATATGACCTCGCATATCAAATCCTATAGGTTTGCAGGACATTGCTCAAAACAAAAAATATACAGAATTTTATAATTTACTCTGGGTTTAAGTTCAAAGTGACACTGAACAGTAAATTTTACTTATTCTAGCATTCTAATACAGGTTTGGAGATTTCTAGTTGTAAGAGATCCGAACAAACAATTGTTAATAAATATTCAATCTTCGCCCTTAAACTAGAGAACGTAATGTTGTTTACTTACAGTTAACTATCCTGCCATAATTGGGCAGGTATACACATTTTACAAACATATTTCGTTTTTCTATAACAATTCTTTGTACACCTAATTTTCTATTACATGAATTGTGAAACGATAGTTTCGTTCAAGATTTAGATTTCCGCGTTGTCTTCCTGTAAAACTATTTCTTTGAATCCTTGTTTTATTGGCGTTTACACAATCTATCTTTATCTCGGAATTTGCTATTACGATATCCCATACATTTGGCACTACTTCATTTTCTGCCCTTTACAATTGATTGGATAATCCTGTAAACACTTGCCTGTCAAAATACCTTAAGCAAACAAACACTATAAATAATTACTTATCAATTCCTAGAGAAAAATAGGCTTAAACACTTACCTGTCAAAACTCCTAGCAGACAAAAGGCTTAAAACACTTACCTGTCAAAAATCCTAGCCGAACAAAAACTGTAAACACTAACCTGTCAAAACTCCTAGCCGACAAAAGGATTAAAACAATTACCTGTCAAAACTCCTAGTCGACAAAAGTCTTAAAACACTAACCTGTCAAAAATCCTAGCCGAACAAAAACTGTAAACACTTACCTGTCAAAACTCCTTGGCGAACAAAGGCTGAAAACACTTACCTGTCAAAGAGAGGCGAAAGATACCAAAGGGACGTTCAAACTCACAAGTCGAAAATAAACTGACAATGTCATGGCTAAAAAAGAAAAAGACCAACAGACAAACAATAGTACACAAAACACAACAAAGAAAACTAAAGACTGAGCAACACGAACCCCTGGGGGTGATCTCAGGTACCCCGGAAGGGTAAGCAGATCCTGCTCAACATGTGGCACCCGTCGTGTTGCTCTAGTTAGTACAAACACGGTAATAAGTCTAAATCGGTAAGTCACATTCGGGGAAAAGGAGACAGGGTTGTAGTTACGACATTTGGAACATATCCGCTATCATCTGTGAAAACTCCAAACCGAACAAAAGCTGTAAATACTTACCTGTCAAAACTCCAAGGCAAACCAAGGCCAATCAAGGCTGTAAATACTTACCTGCCAAAACTCCAAGGCAAACCAAGGCCAATCAAGGCTGTAAATACTTACCTGTCAAAACTCCAAGGCAAACCAAGGCCAATCAAGGCTGTAAACACTTACCTGTCAAAACTCCAAGGCAAACCAAGGCCAATCAAGGCTGTAAACACTTACCTGTCAAAACTCCAAGGCAAACCAAGGCCAATCAAGGCTGTAAACACTTATCTGTCAAAACTCCAAGGCAAACCAAGGCCAATCATGACTGTAAATACTTACCTGTCAAAAATTCTAAGGTCAATCAAGGCTGTAAATACTTACCTGTCAAAACTCCAAGGCCAATCAAGGCTGTAAATACTTACCTGTAAAAAACTCCAAGGCAAACCAAGGCCAATCAAGGCTGTAAACACTTATCTGTCAAAACTCCAAGGCAAACCAAGGCCAATCAAGACTGTAAAAACTTACCTGTCAAAACTCCAAGGCAAATCAAGGCCAATCAAGGCTGTAAATACTTACCTGTCAAAACTCCAAGGCCAATCAAGGCTGTAAACACTTACCTGTAAAAAACTCCAAGGCAAACCAAGGCCAATCAAGGCTGTAAACACTTATCTGTCAAAACTCCAAGGCAAACCAAGGCCAATCAAGGCTGTAAATACCTACCTGTCAAAACTCCAAGGCAAATCAAGGCCAATCAAGGCTGTAAATACTTACCTGTCAAAATTCTAAGGCCAATCAAGGCTGTAAATACTTACCTGTCAAAACTCCAAGGCCAATCAAGGCTGTAAATACTTACCTGTCAAAACTCCAAGGCCAATCAAGGCTGTTAACACTTATCTGTCAAAACTCCTAGGCAAACCAAGGCCAATCAAGGCTGTAAACACTTACCTGTCAAAACTCCAATGCAAACCAAGGCCAATCAAGGCTGTAAACACTTACCTGTCAACACTCCAAGACAAACCAAGGCCAATCAAGGCTGTTAACACTTATCTGTCAAAACTCCTAGGCAAACCAAGGCCAATCAAGGCTGTAAACACTTACCTGTCAAAACTCCAAGGCAAACCAAGGCCAATCAAGACTTTAAACACTTACCTGTCCAAATTCCAAGGCGAACAAAGGCTGTAAACCCTTAACTGTGAAAAACTTTTTTTAGCCTTACAAAGGCTGGAAACACTCACCTGCCAACACTTCTAGGCAAACATAGGCTGTAAACACTCATATGTCCAAACTCCAAGACTAACAAAGGCTATAAACACTTACCTGTTAAACGTCTCTGTGAGCAAATGAAATAAACACTTACCTTCCGAACGCCTAGACTAATGAATAGATATAAGAAGATGTGGTATGAGTGCCAATGAGACAACTCTCCATCCAAGTTCAATTTGTAAAGGAAACCATTATAGGACAAAGTACGGCCTTCAACACGGAGCCTTGGCTCACACCGAACAAGCTATAAAGGGCCCCAAAAATGACTAGTGTAAAACAATTCAAACAGGAAAACAAACGGTCTAATCTATATAAAAAACGAGAAACGAGAAACACTTATGAGCCACATCAACAAACGACAACCACTAAACATCAGGTTCCTGACTTAGGACAGGTACAAAAATGCTAACAAAGGCTGGAAACACTCACCTGCCAACACTTCTAGGCAAAAATAGGCTGTAAACACTCATCTGTCCAAAATCCAAGACTAACAAAGGCTATAAACACTGACCTGCCCAAAACGTCCATGTAAGCAAAAATTGAAAACACTTACCTCTCAAAATTCCTAGACTAACAAAGGATATAAACACTTACTTGTCTAAACTACCATGTAAGCAAATGCTGTAAACGCTTACCTGTCCAAACTACCATGTAAGCAAATGCTGTAAACGCTTACCTGTCCAAACTCCAATGCAAACCAAGGCCAATCAAGGCTGTAAACACTTACCTGTCAACACTCCAAGACAAACCAAGGCCAATCAAGGCTGTTAACACTTATCTGTCAAAACTCCTAGGCAAACCAAGGCCAATCAAGGCTGTAAACACTTACCTGTCAAAACTCCAAGGCAAACCAAGGCCAATCAAGGCTGTAAACACTTACCTGTCAACACTCCAAGACAAACCAAGGCCAATCAAGGCTGTTAACACTTATCTGTCAAAACTCCTAGGCAAACCAAGGCCAATCAAGGCTGTAAACACTTACCTGTCAAAACTCCAAGGCAAACCAAGGCCAATCAAGACTTTAAACACTTACCTGTCCAAATTCCAAGGCGAACAAAGGCTGTAAACCCTTAACTGTGAAAAACTTTTTTTAGCCTTACAAAGGCTGGAAACACTCACCTGCCAACACTTCTAGGCAAACATAGGCTGTAAACACTCATATGTCCAAACTCCAAGACTAACAAAGGCTATAAACACTTACCTGTTAAACGTCTCTGTGAGCAAATGAAATAAACACTTACCTTCCGAACGCCTAGACTAATGAATAGATATAAGAAGATGTGGTATGAGTGCCAATGAGACAACTCTCCATCCAAGTTCAATTTGTAAAGGAAACCATTATAGGACAAAGTACGGCCTTCAACACGGAGCCTTGGCTCACACCGAACAAGCTATAAAGGGCCCCAAAAATGACTAGTGTAAAACAATTCAAACAGGAAAACAAACGGTCTAATCTATATAAAAAACGAGAAACGAGAAACACTTATGAGCCACATCAACAAACGACAACCACTAAACATCAGGTTCCTGACTTAGGACAGGTACAAAAATGCTAACAAAGGCTGGAAACACTCACCTGCCAACACTTCTAGGCAAAAATAGGCTGTAAACACTCATCTGTCCAAAATCCAAGACTAACAAAGGCTATAAACACTGACCTGCCCAAAACGTCCATGTAAGCAAAAATTGAAAACACTTACCTCTCAAAATTCCTAGACTAACAAAGGATATAAACACTTACTTGTCTAAACTACCATGTAAGCAAATGCTGTAAACGCTTACCTGTCCAAACTACCATGTAAGCAAATGCTGTAAACGCTTACCTGTCCAAACTCCTAGACAAACAAAGGATGAAGCGCGTGTTGACCTCCAGTTCATTGACTGTATAGGGTTAACTATTGCATGATATCTATCTATCGTCATGGCGGACAATGTTAAACATGTAGCGTGTAAAGTCACCTGTAAAATTCATTGTTAAAAATAATTCAGATACTCCCGGTGCTTTATATTTTTCGAAGTTATTTTTTATTTATAACTTTTTTTATACAAAATGTTAAATACGTTTATTACAAGGATCCTTCAGCGGGATCAACCGATTTCAGTCTTGTTCATTTCCTATTTCATGCTGTGGTGTATCAAACAATTGAAAGTACAATTATACGTTTCTTGTGAGGATCGAAGTGATCGATCACAAAAAGTATCTGACAGAGATACAGGTCTTGAATCAATCCAAGGGAACTTGACCATGTAAAAAAGGGGGAGGAGCTGTTTTACCAAATGTGTTTTTTTTTATTATATTGAACGCTTTCATCAACACTCCTGGTCATTTCAATTTAAACAACCCCAGTAACATCAATCAAATCAGCAATATGGTGTACTAATTTTTGAACCTTTTGTTTGCGGTATACCATCTTTTCCGCAAGTTTATTGTTTTCTGTTTGGTATTAAATTAATAGTTAAGATCCATTTTGTTACATCTGGTGATCCGTTTATTTGGCAATCGCCAATGGCAATCAGCAGGGTTTAAGAACATCCGTTGTTCGACCTGCTAGTCAAATGCGTTTTGTTAAAATATACTTTTTCACTCTTTTGGTCTTTTGGAAAATGTTGTTTGTGCTGTATTTAGACCCCTCTACTAAGAAATTTGTTTTGCATGCACACGTATAAAAATTGCGGTTTTTATCCAACGCAATCATAGGTTTGAACGTTGTTTTCAATTTAGACTTGTGTGTATATATATATATATATATATATATATATATATATATATATATATATATATATATATATATATAACACTTTAGAAAAGTATGCATCCACACATAAAAAAGATCGAATATTAGGTGCTCGGGATGGTAATTAATTAAATTAATTTATCATACAGTATTTTTAACAGCGCATTATATAATATGAAAAGTGTTCTTAGTGCTTTACAACATAATACTATTTTACAGATACAAAAAAAGAAAACAGCACTTTATAAATTTCATGCGTCCGAAGCGCTTTTCTTTATCGGAAACGCTCAAAGCAGAATATTTGAAAGACAAGGATGTATAAGAACATGATCATTGGTCATATGATTATGAATTCAATCAGTAGCTATTCATATCTGGCGAGATACTAGTCTGTATTTGGTGAAAATGTTTTCTACCATATTTTATATGTGTGACTAGAAATAAAGTTGAATTATCTGAACAAAAGAACTGTCATATGCATGTGTAGTTGTGGACAAAATGTAAGAGAAGGACAGTGATGCCTTTGGTAAAATAATACGAATGGCTATGCATCGTAATACTGAGCAAAACAATTAGCTATGATAAAAATATCTTCATCGGTATTGACACACGCAGTAACGACATTTATAATAACTTGATTACGGGCGTAGGAGGAAATTAAATTTCAAGTCGAACGTTTCGTGTCATTCACTTACTATTATTGAGTTAAATGTAGAGTAAGAAAGGGTTAATGAAAATTACAGAGCAAATATTTTTTGAATATTTGTTTCATTTTGAATAAGTTAATTAGAACGAAATATTACCATGTTAAGTTTGATATTTATACAACTTGCCCAGAGAACTATTCCAATATTCTGCTACAATAGTTATCAATTATCGTAGGGAATTTTGATTTATGCGCATTTAATTTATTTACTATATATGGAATTTGATTAAATTCCTGTATTAAATTAATGTTTCATTCAAAGTGGAGTACTCCGAAACAGGTTTTATAAACACTGTGTTCGATAATGAAGGTTTGATTATACGGTTTCCAAACACACACCATATTGGTAATAAATAAAATTCTTATTTCTAATAACTGCAAATAATAATCAGGAAGTAAACACTGTCAAAATAACGAGAACAGGTGCGTTGGCAGGTTAAGCGTTTCATGTTATGTATGCATCACCCGCCATGCAAATCCACACACAGTAAAAAAAGTCACAATAGGGAATAGCACGCGATCTGTAAAATTTCAGATAAGCAATTATTTAGCAACAAATGTGTTCTTGATTGTGATAGCATAAAAAGAACGAAAAAGTACTGTCCCGAATGTTCACTTTCAAATTTCATAATGCGAACTATACTCCTCGATCATGACATCACCGAATGCGCCTTAACATAGAATATTTACATGCAATATGTAACAAGTGCCACAAGTGGGTTTTGATTTTATTTAATGTATCACAGAATGACATAAAATAAAGGTTTTCGCATATACAGCTTCGTCTGCATTTTGTAATTGACAATGAGAGTCGGTTGAAAACCAAACTGTACAAAAAAGGAATATTATTTCAATTTTCCCATTGTGAACTTTACATTCCTGTGTAACAACATTGCAGCAGCGCCTGCATATGGGGTTTATCTCCCAAATTGTGTTTTCTTGATGACGGATTATAATCACAATGAACATATTGCATCAAGGTCTTTAAGTGGTAAAAATGAAGGCATCTCATCAAAAGGTTTACGGACGGCATCAAGATTTGATTGAGCATTATAGAATATCTGTTTTACAGGCAGATGACCACGGATATATTCAAGTTGTCGTAACCAAAATACGATCCTCTTTTTTCGATTTCGACATTACCGAATGCGAATGAGAACATGACGGATGCCAAATATGGGACAGGAACTTCAAAGACTTTCAAAGCACGTGATTTAAGTTTTGGTTACCGTTGCGAGTTTTTTGTGTAATGTTTTTTTTATTTATTGTTGTTTTTTTTTCAAAACAATCCAATGTCTTTACAGGAAAAAATAACTTGTGCTAACTACAGTAATAATATATAACGTATATATATAGCATTTGTACTTTTAAAAATAAAATGTTTAACATATAGCAGTATATAAACTAAGAGAACCTACGTAAAAAGCGATAAAAAGTAAAATAACAAAAATACCGAACTCCAAGGAATATTCAAACGGAAAGTCCCTTATAAAAAACGGAAAAATCAAAAGCTGAAACACATCAAACGAATGGAAATCAACTGTCATATTCCTGAATTGGTACAGGCATTTCCTTATGTAGAAAAAAGTGGATTAAACCTGGTTTAATAGCTAGCTAAACCTCTCACTTGTATGACAGTCAGATAAAATTCCATTATATTGACAACAATGTGTGAACAAAACAAACAGATATAATAGGTAAAAATGACAAAAATAGGAGTACAGCAGTCAACATTGTGTTATAATCTTAATCACTATAAAAACAAACAAATATGTCAACAAAGAACAATAAAATGGCATATAGACATAGCATAAGCAAAACTGAAAGACAAGAATACAAAAATGACCACAGCACAACAACACAATGGCAGGATAAAAATGGAATTGGTTCACTTTAAATTACATTTTTTTTAAAAACCTGTACATATTATTTGTTAAAAAAATATGATTTTATATTATTACTAATATAAAAATGTATTTTCCTTTTTTTAATGGTATTAGATTCATATTGAGATATTAAAACTCGACTACAAACTGAAAATGCCATGGAAAAAAAAATTCAAAAGAAAAACAACACTATACAAAACACAACATAGAAAAACTAAAGACTGAACAACATGAATTGGTCCCCATTAAAATCGAGGATGATCTCAGGTGCTCTGGAAGGTTATCAGATCCTGCTCCACATGTGGCACCCGTCACATGTATCATGTAAGTACAAATTCGGTGATATATCTAATTCGGTGAAGTCACATTCGAGGAATAAAGACGGAATTATGGTAACGCCAATTGGAACATATCTCTTGTCATCTGTGAAAAGGATATTCCATAACGGTCAACAAAAGTTATCACTTGAAACCATTGGTTCAATTACTTCATTGTAAGTGTTAACCCTCTATCAAGGAAATTATGAAATGCAAGCTCTGGGACATCTTTTAAACTGTGAGCTATATAATCTACATACAGGCGCAGCCGGAATGTTGCTACATATAAATCGAAAGTTCACAATTGGTGAAAACATCATTTTGGTCGTAAATTTTAGTTTTCAACCGAATCTCATTGTCAATTTTTAGATGTATATCAAGATATGAGGCAGAGTTAACTTTTCAACTGATTTTCTCTGGAATTTTTATGTAACATTTACAATCATTTGTTTGAATGCAGGTACGCTTAGCTAAGTTAAAATGTATGTAGGATGTCATAAAATTCACAAACACCACACAATAACGTATACTCCGTTAATATCCGCTAACCGGTTTTGAAAGTTTCAACTTGAAAAAAAAGGTCTTATCTAAAACACCAGGATGTTTTTTTCTTCTCTCGACCAAACGTAAATATTATTTGATCACGCTTGCTTAGTTTGCAATTTTCGATTTGATAAAAATTCACTAATCCGGGCCCGGTCAGAAAGAACACACAAGAAAGAAAAAAGTAGTACATATTTCAAACAAAATAGTTCCTATGCATAGCTGTAACTTTGTCAATAAGTAAAATATTTGGGTAATTTTGCTATCAAATGAAAGCTTAAGGATTTGGGATCACTGTTGAACGTTTCTTTTGATAATAAAAAAATAAATATGAAATTATAATACGAGGGCACATTTGCCCTGTTGTTCAGATCGGAAATACCTGTTTTTTGTACTACCAAACTTCCGGCAACCAGTGCGCTCTAATATGCAATTATAGGTACGTTGAATTTTTCAGCACAAGTCGGGATAAGGTAACGTTTTGACATGAAATAACTGTCACTTTATTTGAAATTAAGACAAAGTAGCCATTAATGCTTTAAATTGCAGAATTTAACATAGAAAGTCAATGGAGCTATGCATTAGTGGGTTTATTCCTAAAATGCAACCGTTGGTTGTGGCATGTCAACCATGCACATTTTAACTAAAAACTATATTATAATTCATAACAGTGTTATGTCTGACAAAGTCGCGTGGACCAAAGCGTTTGAAACGAATTCAGTTAATGACTATTTATTTGCAGTTTCACAATTTTTATGGTCTGTTCAAATGCCGTCACTACCAGCGACCAAAGAAGATATCGAGCTCTACTATAAGACTATTATAGATGCTGTTCAAAAAGCAGACAAGGAAACACTCCCAAATAAACAATTTGTGAAACATATAAAGCCGTATTGGACGAAAGTCGTAGATTTAACACACAAAACAATGTTAAATAAGCACAGTTTATGGATACTAAACGGGAAAGTTCACGATAGAAGCGATCAAGTCTTTGCTGACTATAAACATGCAAAACGGACTTCCAGAAATGAATTGGATAAAGCTTACAACGAACATATTATGAACATTGCGAACAGAATGGAAGAGTCTATCGACTACGATGAAAGATATGTATGGTCGGTCTTAAAAAGCAGACGTAAACAGAAAACTTTTTGTCGCGAACTAATTTAAATGGAATAACTCATACTAACGAAAGTGAAATATGCGAAGCATGGGCGGACCATTTTAAATCCATTTTTCAGTTTGATAGCAAGTTAACTAATTCAACAAACATAAATTTTGTAAAACATGAAGCGAATAAATTACGGAAAACCCAAAGGGAAACTAACGCTCCAATCATTCCATTTGAGTTTGAAGAAATTTTAACATTTGTAAGAATTTATGTAATAACAAATCTACAGGTTTAGACAACGTTTTATATGAGCATGTAAAATATGGTGGTAAAACATTGCAGAAACACTTGTGTAATCTATTCAACCTAATAACACAAACACGTTATACTCCTCTAGATTGGAAAACTAGTGTAATTATACCGTGATTCAAAGGTGGAAATAAAAACAAAACTGATCCTAATTCGTACCGCTGTATATCGTTAACAAGCTGTATCGCCAAGATATTCGAAAAGTCTCTGTATCCTCGATTCGACTCCTTACACACAAAATTTCCACATCAATCTATGATGGCATATCAAAAGGAATTATCAAGTATTCACGCTTCATTTAATTTACAAGAACCGATTCGTCATTATATCGAACGTAATGTTCAGTGACGTAATTGGTGTGCTGTTAGATAGCACGAAAGCTTTTGACACCGTATGGCATGATGCATTGTTATATAAACTGCTTAGATATGGAGTTCCCGGTGATTTATGGCTGCTTGGAGATGAAATATACAATGACATGCGCAGTTGTGTTTTATTCAATGGTAGACTATCTCGTTGGTTTGAACTAAAACGCGGCGTTCGCCAAGATGGCGTCTTATCGGCTCTGTTATATATAGTGTATATAAACGATCTTTTATGTGACTAAGATTATAACACAATGTTGACTGCTGTATCCCTATTTTTGACATTTTTACCTATTATGTCTGTTTGTTTTGCACACACATCGTTGTCAATATAATGGAATTTTATGCGACTGTCATACAAGTGAGAGGCTTAGGAAGCTATAAAACCAGGTTTAATCCACTTTTTTTCTACATAAGGAAATGCCTGTACCAAATCAGGAATATGACAGTTGTTATCCATTCGTTGATGTGTTTGAGCTTTTGATTTTGCCATTTGATTACGGACTTTCCGTTTTGAGTTTTCCTCGGAGTTCGGTATTTTTGTTATTTTACTTTTTATGTGACGTTGAAGATTCTAAATGGGGATGCGTTCTTCTAGATATCAGTGTAAGTAGCTCTGTTCAAGCCGACGACATTGCTTTACTCTCAACAACAGAAAAAGGAATGCAACATCTTATTAACATTTGTCAGACATATAGCGATAGTTGGGCATTCAAGTTTTCTCCGACCAAAAGCAACGTCTTACATTATTCAAAGAAGAACACGAATGTTTCAAGCAACATAACTTTTTATGATGTCATCATACCACTCGTGTCGGTATTCTTCTGAACTGTAAAGTTTGATCAATGGACCAGACATTGAATGCGTGCAGAGTGTTGAGAGCAACTGCTCTTTCAGTACTAAATTCTGGAATTCATCCATCAATTTAAAACCCTTTGACTAGTTCCAAGATAATACTTCAAATATTTTACAGCAAAGCCCTATATGGTTGTGAGTTATGGAACAATTCGACTCCAACAGAACTTACGATGTTAGAAAGATCTCACAAATTTGTGTGTAAAATCATCCTAGGACTTCCGAAACGAACCTGTTCTGACAAATGTATGGTTTTCAATTGAAAACATTATCAACAGATGTAAACTTTAAGTTTTTGGTAGACTATGTAGGTTGAAGTCTTTTGCGTTACCAAAACGAATAATGATAAGCAGACTAATGGAATTCAAACATTCCAGAACGACTTGGTTTTATACCTGACATTTATAAAGCAGCCGAAAAATATAATATTACAGATTATATTGTGAATTTTGCAAATACTGGTTCTTTTCCATCAAACAAACTTTGGTCAGTTATTGTAAACCGGAAAATAAAAGCAACTGAAAAACATGGTGGTTATACCGAATTTCTTGCGATAATGATTTTTATATGTTTAGACATATTCATTCTGCAATCAAACCGCATACAGCATGGACAATTGCTAAACAGTTTCCCGAACTTCGTGCCTCTGCCAAGTATGTTCTGTAGTACGTTATGAAGATGAACATTTACTTTGTAACAAATGTGGCAAGTTCTTCTTGAATATTGTTGAACATTTACTGGTATAAGGGATTTTATACAAGACAAAAGAGATGATCTATGGCAGGACATAATTAATGTTAATCCCATTCAGTTCAGTGTTTTTATGGACAGTCTTTTGGCACGTGAATTCACAACGACAATTCTCTAACGCAATACGTCATATGAATTAAGAAATGACGAATTGACTTTTTTCTGAAGGATTTGTGTTCGTCATGTGGAAAAAATCTGCCAAGGTTTCCACAATCGATAGAATATGCGTCCGTTATCGCCATTATTGACAGTGCTCATGTTTTCTCTTCATTAACTTGAAACAGTAACTTAAATTCTTTGTTTTTTTAATTTTATGATTTATATATTTCGTGTACACCAATTCTCTATCATAGAGGAATTATAGTAATATATATATATATATACGTATATTATAATTCATAACAGCACTGGTATAAATTGACCACTATAATTTCATCATATGAGGAAAGATAAAAAAAAATAAAACAAAAAAACTACATTAACATTAACAAGCATTAAGTGTACGATAAGATCAGATGTCCATATTTGGAGATGGATTGTTCCACCGAAACAGGTGTGTAGCGACAGAAGAAACATTGCCTACTATTGAATGAAAGGAAAACAAGATTTTAGCAATTGTTCGTATTTAACAATAGTTTTGTGTATAATATCTAGTTAACCATTTTAAAAAGTTTGAGTCGATTTGATTTGAATTGCGATCAATAAATATCATTCAATGTTCATATCGCTATTACGGTTGTAATTTCTAAGATTCCTTTGTGTATAATCTATTAATAACTTGAAGCTGTTTTTGTTTAAATTTGTTTTCAAGCCTTCTCTTTATATTTTAATGCATTTGTAGTAATAACCCAAGGCATTTTATCCCTTTCATCTATGTAATTTTAATACCAGCAAAAAAAGTTCACCAACCATTAATTTCTATTTTTGCAAAGAACAGAAATTAATGTCTGTACAGTTGAGTAAATGACTAGATAGTAAAGAACGCCTATTGTTCTAGTTTTGTCAATATGCAAGAATTTTCCTTTCCAATTTTTTATCGGAAGTATAGAAGTATTTATTTTCTTTCGGATACAATTATATTATTAATTAATTCATTTGGATTGCGGATGCTTATCGATACAACATTTTACCAATACATGATCTTCAAAAGTGTCTTACTGTCTTAAGAGCTATATATACATTGACTTACAATAAACTCATCATAGGTACCAGGCTTAAAATCATTTTCATTTCTAATGTAATATGACCCTCTTCTTTCGTTTTGGTTAGAATTATTCGTTTCAGAATCTGAAGAGGACTATGGGTAATTTCATTGATTGTATCACAAAATGAAAATGACTCTTCATTGGTTGAGTTTCCATTGTTTGGGGTAATTGTAACCAACCACTACTCTTTGGTGTACGCTTTGGAAAATACTCCCCAAAATGCCTTAGATTCTGAAAATGCGAATTACAATAGAAAATTTGGTGCACCTGATTGACATCACAATTAAAATTGCAACGACTGTGTTAGTGTTTCTCGCAATATAGATAAATAATATCATCCTTAACGTAGTTTACATGTATCTGTTTACGTTTTTAACAGTGAAATGGGGGGTTTCTTTAACGTTTCTGCTACATCAAATCAAATTACTGCCTTTGGAACTTGTCTTATTGGTCCGCTTCGAAGTACAAACCTTTTACATTTTCCTATTAGAATTGAAATTACTCAATCGTACCATGCTCTATACTCCTTTCAACTAAGATAGACATTATTATTGTCAACATTTTACACCTTGCTCACACTCGGTATAAAGATATTGACAAATATAATGCCTAGCTATGTTAAAATGAACAAAGAGTGTGGCATGAACGAATTATGTCTTAATTTGTCATTTTCAAATATAAGTAGGTAATTTTTAATTCTCAAAGTGTAATTTGCAATTCTTGTGTGATTTTAAGTTTTTTAATCTCAGTGTGTTTTTTATCCTTGCCCTATGTGCCTTTGGACATAATAAGGACTAGGTAGGTAGGTAGATGTTTTTTAATCAATCACAGCGTTTAATTGTTTGTTTTTAATAACATCTTGTACTTTTTCTTTCGAAAAATGGATAAAATATAGTTTTGACGAGAATAGACTGCCATAGACAAGCTACAAAACAATGACATGGTGGAAAAGTGGGAAATGGTTCCCTTTTTTCCATTCATGTATCTTATATTATGTATATTTTATTCTTACTTTGTAGTATACTTACATAAATCATATATGTAGAAAATTTACAGATGATACTCCCTAGAATCCATGTGGGGATCACGACATGAATCAGAGTGACTGGAACAACAATTATGATAAACATCAAGTCAGCAAAGGCAAGATTTGTGACGTAAACATTTGTAACAGACCGCTCTCCATATCTAAATAGGATGTAAATAACTAAACCATTGCCTATTACACCTGTTAGAATTATGAGACTCCACACAATGCTGATGATAAAAACGGCTGGGGGCGGAGGCTGGTCTGATTCTGTTAAGTTGGAATCACCTGGAGTCTCTGTGATGTAGGCCAGTGTAGTGATGTTGTACATTAAATCATACATTTTATTTAATCCTGGTCGCCTACAACAAAAGTGTAGAAAATATATGAATACTGAAATTTGACGATAAATCACCTTCTATTTCCTTACCGAATAATTTTAAGTTTTGTCACACACACACACACAAAAAACAACTCCAGAGATCTTGTGATTTCATTTTTTAAATAGGCTTGTTAAAGGCTTGTTAAAATATAAAAGCCGTTTTATGTAGAAAAATGGTCGTTTGTGGCAGTTGTCCTTTATAAACTAACACTGCAGCATTTAAGAATCAGTGTTGATAGAAAAAACATTTGTAAGAATAATGATATAATGATATATCGATAATTATATAATGTTAAACCTGTATAAAATTCTCATATATCGATAAAGATCTAAATTAATAATCAAGAAAGAATCATCATATAACTCAATACCCATCTAATATTTACCAGCATAGAATTATCTTGATCAATACTGATCAAATAGTAGACCTGGAAAGAACCGTTGTATCGATACTTATCTTATATATCATAGACCAGCATGTAATCTGCATAAACCGATCCAATAGTTAACCCGTAAAGAATCGTCTTATTGATACCAATTTAATAGTAAACCAGCATGATATCGATATGATATACCGATCTAAATGTTGAATCATAATATATCAATTCCGATTAATAAAGACGGGTAAATATTTCATCCTAATAAATTTTAGTTCTTTTCGTATTCGCCTTTTGAGCGGTTAATTTGAGAAGGCATATTTCTTGTTGGAAAACAATTCTGTGTAGAATACTTGATCAATATAGAACCTTCATATTTCGATCTACTAGTAAATTCCTTTTTCAAAACTTGTTTTTATCGTTTGCCCCTTCAAGTCCCACAATTGTAGCAAGTATGTATCTTGCTGAAAGAACAGTTTGCAAAGTATATTAAAGCCATGTAATAAAATAGAATACAGATTTCTTCAAATTGTCATTGCAACCATAGGCGAACACATTTCGTATAAAAGTCCTGTTGACAATGTAAATGTTGACAATTATAACGCTGCCAATTGAATTATGTATGAGGGAAGCTGCACACAAACGACCAGGACGTTAAGCATCGAAGATTGAAATTATGAAACATATGTTTGCAGATGAGAATTTAATCGCAATAGGATACTGCATAAATTAATTACAACCAAACCTTTTATTTTTGCAAATGCAAGTTTAGAAAGTAGGGTTTCTCAATTTCGTCTTTTCCTAGATCATCGGTCTGAAAACTATGTGAGTGGAAATAAGCTATAAGTTTGAGTTGATCTATATAAAGATATATAAAGGGATTGTAACAGGGATAATAGGGTTTATTTTATAACATAAGCTTTTGACCTATGATCGGGTTAACTAAGCATTACAAAGACACTTCAATAGGTTTAAATACGATCTATTAATGGGCAGGTATTATCCTTGATTAAGTTTCACCAGGTTAATCAGTCAACAAAGGATTAGTTATTGCATCTGCTTTTGTCGTGATTAAAGTTGTTTTCATCATGAAATGCAATGAAAAGGGATTCAAGTTTGTATTCACTCAACATGGAAGCCATGCGATTTCATGTTATCCAATTCTATCTTTGATGACGAATATGGTACGAAATGGAATACATATAACATGGTACGAAATGGCATTCATATAAGTCTTCCTTTTGGTACGTCATGTCCTACGATTAAGTCTTCCGTATGGTAAGAAATGGAATACATATAAGTCTTCCATATGAAACGGGTTTAGGTATGGTACTGAAAGGTTTTAGCTCTTATTACAATCATTGTAAACAAAAACTCTTTTTAGCATTTAGAGAAACTAAAATTCGCAACCAGAGAAAAAAATATATTCCAACATTTCAGAGGGTATCTCATGTTTTATACATATTTTCGCGACATTCGCGAGTAGCAAAATACCGCGAATATAAATCGTCGCAAATTTATTAATCTTTTATCTTCCCTTATATAAATACGTCAAGAAAATAAGAAAATCGTAAAAAATACGTCGCCGCGTAGTCGGCTACGAAGGGCTACACGCAAAATAAAGTATCAATGAAAATAAGTTGGTTTATAGTATACACCAGAGACCAAATGACATAGATATTAACAATGAACAAAACCAATATCGCTTAACAACTTATAAAAGACCCCGACATGACAAAATGTAAAAAAATTCAAACGGAAAAAACCAACGGCCTAATTTACATGTGTAAATATGATATTCAGCAACAAACAACAAACACTGAATTACAGGATCTTGATTTGGGACAGCCACATACATAATGTGGCTATTGGGTTAAACATGCTTGCGGCCACCCAATCCTCTCCTAGCCATGGAAATTAAGGCAACAGTAGTTTACTGATCGATGTCCGATGTTCTTATCTCGTAAATCGATAATATCCTTAATTTCAAGTTCACTGGAATATATGAAATGTAAGCACTCATTAAAATGTGGGTTATTGTTTGACAGATGACGACGGATATGTTCCAATTGTCGTCACTACACGACGGGTGCCACATGTAGAGCAGGATCTGCTTACCCTTCCGGAGCAACAGAGATCACCCCGAGTTTTTGGTGGGGTTTGTGTTGCTCAGTCTTTAGTTTTCAATGTTGTGTTTTGTGTACTGTTGTTTTTCTGTTTGTCTTTTTCTTCTTTATCCATGGCGTTGTCGGCTTATTTTAAACTTATGAGTTTGAATGTCCCTCTGTTATCTTTCAACTCTCTTATATTGAGTGACATTATATCATTAATATATCTGAACGTAAAATAAAGACTTTTGCAAGATGTTTTTTAAATTTAACAGCCCAACATAAGAACAAACTATAAAAATCAGTTGAAAAGGGTTGTATGAGTTTGTAATTAGTTGTTATTGGCTTTGAACTAGCTGTCAGTAAATTTGAGTACTCTCAGATCTGTACATAGTTTCTTTTTTGTTGTGGGGATGTATAAATACCCTGCTACGTCAGGTCTGTGTTTTTGTTAGATATTTTCTGCTTTGTATCGATCTGATGAATTAAGCACTTTTTGAACTGATTTTATAGTTTGTTCTTATTTTGTACTGTTATACTACTGTCCCAGGTTAGGGGGAAGGTTAGGCGCCAACAAACTAGTTTAACCCAGCCACATTCTATATGTGCCTGTTCCAAGTCAGTAGCCTGTAATTCAGTGCTTGTCGTTTGTTGCTGTATATCATATTTGTTTTTCGTTCATTGTTTTGTACATAAATCAGGCCGTTAGTTTTCTTGTATGAATTGTTTTACATTTGTCATTTCGGGGCCTTTCATAGCGGACTATGGGGTACGTGTTTTGCTCATTGTTGAAGGCCGTACGGTGACCTTTAGTTGTAAACTTCTATTTCATTTGGTATCTGTCTTATTGTCAATCATACCACATCTTCTTATTTTTACATTAACTCAACAGATCGATACAAAGCAAAAAAACAACTCACAAAAACAATAAATACACAAAGTACCGATCTGAGATTACTCGCAGTTACTGAAAGCTAGTTCAAAGCCAATAAAGATTTATAAATAAATCATGCATTCAAGATAAAATATCAATCAGTACACATCCATGTATTAAGTGTAAAGACGTCCTTAACAGTCTAGGAAAAACATGACCTTGGGCAGTATAAAAAAATAGGTATCAACATTATGTAGAACCTTTAGTGTAAATAATTGTTTAGCAATAGATATCTATTAAGGATGTTAACTCGGGAAAGTAAAATAGAGAATGGAAATGGGGAATGTGTCAAAGAGACAACAACCCGACCAAAGAGAAAAGGCCGAAGGCCACCAATGGGTCTTCACCACAGCGAGAAAATCCCGCACCCGGAGGCGGTCTTCAGCTGGCCCCTAAACAAAAATGTATACTAGTTCCGTGAAAATGGACGTCATACTAAACTCCTAAACATATAAATGAACTAAAATTAAAAAACATACAAGACTAACAAAGACCAGAGGCTCCTGACTTGGGACAGGCGCAAAAATGCGGCGGGGTTAAACATGTTAAGTGAGATCTCAACCCTTCCCCATACCTCTAGCCAATGTAGAATAAACAAACACACAGCAATACGTACAGTAAAACTCAGTTTAAAAGAAGTCTGAGTCCGATGTCAAAATAGGTAACAAAAGAAACTAAGCAAAATGACAATGATACATAAATTAACAAAGGACTACTAGCAGTTACTGACATGCCAGCTCCAGACCTCAATAAAACTGATTGAAAGATTATGTCTTATCATATGAAAATCAAGCACAATCCCTCCCGTTAGGGGTTTAGTATCATACCATCATAAAATATATGAGAAGAACATAACCCGTATCATGCCAACAACTGGTTTTAGAATAAATGTGTTTATTTCCGATGCAAAGACCCTATGAATAAAACAATATTTATACCAAAATATGCAATCTTTAATGACCTGACAACAGTATCGTAACTATATCCCTTCTGAATAAGTCTGTTTAAAGGTTTGGTTAGCTTTTGAGGTGAATGCCGACATTTTTGTGCTTTGTAAAGAATATTACCATATTATATTGGATGTGAAATACCTGAACGTATAAGAAGTCTGCATGTTGAAGGATTTATATTAAAGAACTATTAATCGAATACTGTATGGTTTTACCGAACAATACTCGAGTACTCGCGTTTATAATATCTACAAAAAAAAAATAATTGTACACATTTTGGTGGGTCGTTGTGTAGTGTACGTAATACCCTAGACACATTATCATTTGGGACTAGACCATTCTAAGAAATTATATACATGTATCATAATTAATTGCTGATTAACTACATGAATTAATTAGATAAACAATAATCTAATCAATAATTTAATTAACATATTGAATATAAAATATTCCAGATCAAACGATAATTACATTTTTGATCATTAAAAATACACATTTACGATGGTGTGATGATTAGAAATCACTGTTGCGATCTCAAGAAATTGAATTTGATGGAAAAAAAGAAGACAATGTTCAAACAGGAAATCGATTAGTCGAGTTTGATTTTGGTA